AGCTCCCTCCGTTAAAGAACATGGAAGACCCCAATGATTACGACATTGAAAAGGACATTCCCACCATCGAAGAACTGGAAAAGCTGGGTAAGTGCACCACGCAGTTGTGGCTTATTTTTCTTTTCGCCGAACAACTATTTGGAAACTTTTCACTCGTAGGGGAAGTGCAGTACCGGGAAGTKTGCTGGGATCTAAAAGAAAGGGGCACTGTCGGCGAAACGGCGTTACATCTATGTTTGCTAAACGCTACGTCTATACACGCAGATTTGGCAAAAAGRCTGTTACATTTCTATCCAAAGCTCGTAAATGACATTTACATGATTGACGAGTATTACGGTGAGTCATGATCGGACGATTGATTTCGATTAAAATCATTAGAATTGGTAAAAATATTTTATGTCCCCTTGATATTTTAAGTATCGATACTAGACTGTATATATTTCTTTATTAATTTTATTATAATATGTTATGGCACTGCGTAACTGAATAAAAACTATACACTACTGTTGTCAGTGGCGTATCTGGGGGGGGGCGATGGGTGGATCGCCCCCCCTTGGATTTTTCAGAGGTGGTTATTACATTACGGCTCTCAGAGTAATARGCTAAAGTATTCATTGGATTTTATTTTATCAACATCTTATCGTGACCTAAAAATAAGATTATATAATCATTTGTTCATTGCATTGTTATCTAAAACCTGTATAAGATCCAAGATGGGTGAGGAAAGGTTAACAGGCTTGGCTTTATTAAATATACATTGCGATATTGAAGTAGACGTCYAAGTAATTATAGATAGATTTGCCAGCGAAAAAAATTGAAATACATTGCTTTGAAAATTATAATATATTTTAAGATAGGTATATTGTATAAAAACATATACTAAAACAAATATTTATTAGTAATTTTTTTATTATATTGCTGTAATTAAAAAAAAAAAAAAAATTGTGAGTATAAAAATAAATATGACTTATTAGTTATTAGTGACGAAGGTAACTCTTGTCTCTTGTGATATTTGAGTTTTGAAATCGCCCCCCCCTTGATTGAGCTTCAGCTATGCCACTGACTGTTGTGGTTCCTAAGATGATGTTTGATGGCTTGGTGTAGGAGAGAGCGTATTGCACATGGCTATTGTCAACGAAGATCCGGCCATGGTGAAGGTACTGATGGACAGCGGGGCAAACTTGAACGAACGATGCTTCGGGAACTTCATGAGCACCGAAGATCAAAAGGCTTCCAGATCAGATTCACTTGACCACGAATGGGTCAACCTGTGTCCTGACACCAATTACGAAGGGTAAACGACCTATATACAGGGTTGAGTTAATCACCGAAAATATTCACACGACAGCCTCATCAAATCACTTATATAGTCTAAATCTCAAACATACAAACAAAAAACTTGTTTAAATTTACGATATTTGTTTGTATCAAAGTTTTTTTTTTTATAAAAGTCATGTATGATTTTAATTGTCGACGTATGAAAAGTCAAAAACACACAAATGCAGTTGTTTCGCCTACAATTACAATATATAGGTATTATTATTACAAAATAAACGGTTTTCAAAATCGCAGGTACGTGTATTGGGGCGAATATCCACTGTCATTTGCAGCGTGCCTCGGCCAGGAGGAGAGCTACCGTTTGATGTTGGCAAGAGGCGCTGACCCAAATAACCAAGACACCAACGGTAATACGGTTCTACATATGCTCGTAATTTACGAAAAAATCGTAAGTCAATCATAACCAAAATATTATGTAGTGGATAACAACTTATATACTTATCCTATCACGTTATACGCAATAAATGTAAACGAGCATGACCCTTTTCCGTCAACAAATCGGGTCCCAAATTTAACATCAGCTGTTTCTACCTTATACATATTTAGTATCATTTCATACAAATATATRTAAGTCATACAAGTAAATTATAAGTCTCATATCGTATTAAAATATTTAAAAATTATAAAAATAAACATTTAATTAATGATATTTTTTTAAACTCATATAACTAAAATCAATTGTTACTTATATTAGCATATTGAGAAGTTTATCTTTGCAAATATATATATATAATTATTATTATTATTCCTTCCGGTGTTCAAGTATAGTGATTATTTGGGGCAGTGGAAGTTGGTAAATTTCTAGTATCGATGTGGCGTCATTAAAGACATTAAAGATAATGAGACAGTGTCTACCCTATTTTAATATTGCAAAAAAAAAAAAAATAATAGCTTTTAAAACATCTGCCGAATTTGTCTCTTTCGTTTTCATAGTGGTTTACGGTGGTGGTAGCGCTGGTGTGCAGGGTTTAGTAAACAGGCGCTGTATGCTCATATAAGACACGTCTCGAGCTTATCAATATAACTATTATTCTATTAATTTTATACTAAGTCATTCCGATTCGTCATTCTTAGATAATATTTATATTATTATATTATTATCAAAACTGCGTACGAGTTGAGAGTCATTCAATGCGAGTTTAAAGAAATGAAAGGGAAGTAGGTATCACTGCACATTATCGTTCGGTTTTTCTGACTATTTACATATTCTAAACGACTATTACACATAAATTATTCCATATTATTACTTGACACGTAATATATTGTATAAAATTAAAATTATTATTGATTACCAAACCCCTATTTGGTGGAAACGGSAATCCAACAAATTTTTGTCAAAAACAGTCAATATTAATTTGGCAGAAGTGGGTCATTTTCATAAATGATAATATATACCTACATACTTTTGGCCGACTTAAGTCCCGCGCGTGTTTATATTATGTCCAAAT